AACTAAACCATCCATATAGAAGTTATTGAATAGTTATGTTTTGTTATGTTAGCTATTCAATTAATGTAATTAACTTCCATGCAGATGTTTCTCCTAGGGACTTCCTATATTGTTATAAATACACGATGAGGTCTTTGTGCTTGCGTCTTATTCAGTTATATCAATCTACTTCTGTAGAACACTTCTACTTTATTTTAAATTGAATGATGTTTAGTCCTATTAAGTTGAGGTTACTTGCATCACACATTAATAATTGATATATAGCATCAATGCTCTCTAATCATCCCGTGAATAGAAAAAGCCTCAACTTTCATGAGAAAAATATTATAGAGAAGAAACAAATGCAAGAAGCAATAATGGAGCTAGGATGAAGATGTGTCTCCAATAGGTGCACAGCAAGAAACAATAACACACATTATTGTGTCTGATTATACCATCACCAGATATGGAAAGATGGTTGCGCTAGAAGGAAGCAATGATGCAAAAGTGTTGATCAATAATGCTACTATAAAAACTTTAGCTTTGGGGTTCTTCAATTGACTTTGTATTTCTCTCTTTCTAAAACGCTTGTTCTTGACAATTGTAGCCATTGTTTTCAATACTGAAATCAATTTTATCAAGATCATTGCTTACATTACCATGTTCCTTGTTGTCCTCGTTAGGGTCAAGTTGGTTGTGGTTGATTCCACTATCCCGGCCCTAATTTGTGAGGGGACAATATTAACTATAAAATTAATTAAGCTGCTATAATTGAATCACCCATTTAAATTTTAAAGGTAGATAATATTCATGTTATGTTGATTATTCAGTTAGTGTAACTTTCATGCACACCCCTTAATTTTTACTAGCTTCATTTCTTATTATAAATACACAAGCTTTTTGTATTTGCATCTTATTTAATCGTATCGATATAATATTGTTTTTTCTATAAAACACTTGTATTCAATTTTATGACATTTGACCTCATCAAATTAGGATCACACACATCTATACTCTGATGGACATTAAAATAAAAAGAAATTATATGCAAAGTTTTTTTATATTTTATCTTAATTGTTACACTCATATCAAACTTAACAATTTGAATAACATGTCGATACACATGTTTTAAGAATCAATCTGACTTAATTCATAGTGATTTAAACGGATTGACTTTGCAAAAAAAGGAAAAAACCAATTGCATCATGCATTAAAAAGAAACACTTTAAAACAATAGTGTTTTACTTATAATGAAAGAAAAACACAATCAATTTAACGTAAAAGAAACTAGCAACGTAATTAAATGGCATAAAATAGAATAAAATTCAAAATATTTAATAACAAAGGAGAACATGAATTTGATAAACATTTTTGGCTACTTTAATATAATTATATATATTATAAATTTCAAACCTGCAGTTTATAATAACATATTGTAAAGTTTTGTAATTTTTTACTTGTATATTAAACGTATGACTATAATGTATTGGTCTGTATTATTTATTTGTGTTTTAACATTGTAAAATATATTAAATATTTATGTAATAATAATTTGAATTATAAAGTGTATTCTATATACATATAATTTAATCAATCTAATAACTAAATATCACAATTGAGGTTCATCACTTAATAAAGTTTAATTAACCTTTTTAGCACAAAAGTTTTAGCTTTTATTGAAAATGGTGTTTAGTTCCGAGGAATAAGAAGAGAATGATTTTTTTATATGTAGTTTTCTTTATATTTGATTCAAAACTTTACAAAATAAACGAAGAAAAGGAAGTGAATTAAAATTCCTCCTCTTTTTTTTTTTCATTTAAGTTTTTTCGTTTCCTTTGCATCTCTTAATCAAATAGTATTTACAAAATCATGTATGTTATGATCACATTATAACATTAACTACGTCACACTTATTTCATTCTTTCCAAGGGAAAAAATATTTATAAGCTTATTATATTAAATTTAACGTTAGAGAAACAATTTTTTGTAGACGAATCATAGATTATAAAAGGAAAAAAAAAGTTGATTAGCAATGCAGAATGTTGAGTCCGCATGCACCAAATCGAATAGCCACAGAGATTTGAAAAATTACATGTTACGTGGAGTGACATTATTGGCCCATGCGTATCACATTTGTTTGGTGTCTTCTTCTTGTGTGGGAAGCACATGCACTGGGGTGGCTTTGGAGGGAGAAAGCTAGGAAGATGTGACAACCCCATCACCAAAGTCACCCCACCGTTCCAGTGCACATCACGCAATCTCTCCTTTATTTTTCACCTTCAGTTCCTACATAATCATATTTCCACATGACATATCCTGATAATGCTAGGTTGCATTAAACACAATTTGAATTTAGCCTGTGCATGCGTGATGCTCCCCAATGTTAGGTTACACCCTAGCAATTCATTGTGTCCCAATTGAAACGATAACAATGCAATCCAAGTGTGATATGCATAAACCCACAAGGCCCTTGTCATCCCTCAACAACAGTAATAACTTTTATCAACGGAAATACCGTAATTGACGACTAATAAAGTAAGCTTATTGCTAGGTTCGACAATTAATTGTTGTCTTCTTTTAGCATGGGACTAGACTTAGATTATGGACAATATGGTGTCACACTGTATAAAGTATGGCAATACGTGGCTCCGGGTCTAATTATAAAGAAATTGTTTCCCCTTGTTTTATGACAACATAATTGTTTACTTGAATTATAATTTTATGAATACATAATTAACTTCGTTAGTGTTAGAAGATTGTCTGTCAATGGCTCTTTTCATGCTCTTTATGTCCCCCATAAAAACATCAAACATCTTATCAAATAATTTTTATTTCCCTCGGCTTTTCCTAGTTTCTATAACAATTTTTACGTTTGTTTTCTCGTTCTGACTGAGAGAATTAATTTCTTCGTCATATAATTAGTTTTTTAATTTTAACTCTTAAAGTTAATTTTAAATATTTAAGTAATAAAAATGTATTAAATATATTTTATAAAAAATTTCAATTATTAATAATTATTTTAAGTCAAGTTTAAAAATTAAGATTAATATTTTGTTTATTAATTAAGCTAAGGATAGTCTTCATCGTGTGTATAGTTTACTACTTGTGCAGCGGCACACAGAGAAATGACAGCAGCATGTTCGGAATGCGATTTCCACCAACCCCAAGACAAACTGAATCTTTTCAGTTTAACTTGAGCTTTACTTCTTATTTACTCGTTTGGCCTGAGAATCCAAAATTTTTCTCCTTTCCCTATGACCTGTTTGGCATATTTTGACAAAAATGTGAAGGTTCGCGAACTCAAATGATAAACGATAACAATACGAAGAAGACAAACAGGAAACTGCTCTTTTTCAACCATCTTTTGGTATATTTGAAGCATCCAATGAAGCTAACTCACTTTTCCAAACTCAAACTCCAATTCATTTCTTTACAAACACAATAATGTAAATACTTTTACATATTAAAAAGCAGTTGAGTGGGAAGGAATAATACCCTGAGCAAGTAAAGTTAAACAAGTAAATGGGAGAGAGGAGTAAATTACAAATTGGTGGTAACAAGAGTGAAAGAGTTGGTTTGAATGAGAAGTTGAAGATAAGAAGCTTAATTGGAGTATAGTAGTTTTGGGGGGTGCGGCTCGAGAGAAAGAAAAAGTGAGAGAATGGGGATGGATAGCATGACCCACATTACAGTTAAAGGAAATTGGGACCGGGGTCTAAGGACCGATGATTACGGGGTCTGGAAAGGAGGACCCGACCCACACGTTGGATTCTCAATCTCCTTCTGTCGTTTTCTTCATAGAGTCAGCTGGGTAGCATTTCCCTTCAGACTACACTCTCATCATCCACTCCCATTCTTATCCCAGTTTTCCAAAATCTGGTTTTAATGTAAAATGAAAACCGTTATTAGTCCTTACCCCTCACTCACGAGCCACTTACTCCGTATAATAAAATCTTGCTGACCCCACCATTCCTCTTCTTATTAGTTATTACGCATACCCGCTCATCACGCCTTAATACTCCACCCTCTCTGTCTTTCTTAGGTCGTTTTAACTTTTAAGTAACCCTTCAAAATTTTTTTCTTTAGCTTTTCTAAGTCACGCTTTTTTGTACTAACTATGTACGCTCTACCACACTCACAGCACCAAGGAGTCTGTGCCTTTTCCCACTTATAACCCTTGGATTTGCTTTACGATCTCACGTAACCCCATCCTCATGTGCACCAGATTCCAGGGGCGCTTTTGTCCATCTTCCTTCAATTTTCTTTCCTCTCAATTTTTGCCTCATTTATTTCCCGCTTTCTATTTTCTTTCCTTTTCCTATTTAACAATCACCTACTCCGTATCCCATTTCAGATTCTTGCACCTTCACAATATTTTATTGGCAATGTGTGCCAAACAGGAAAAATAAATAACAAAAAATTCCTATTAAAAAAATAACAAAATTAGAAAAAGGATATTGTTAGGTGGCACTCGCTTGTTGAGAGCGTGTGTGTTAATCTCCGAGCAATCCACTGGAAGTGAGGTTCTGTGGAAAGTGGAGCCCACACGTAATCGAGTATGTCTGAATACAATTGGAAGGTGATCTCTACGTGATCCAGAATAGTGTAGCTAGATATTAGTAATACCAATACACACGCATTTGGTGCACACCCATATATTTATTATATAATTATTATTTTTATATATATAATGCAATTTTTTCATATTGCCATTCAATTATACATTATTGTATTAATAAAAATAAATGTATGATTTTTTTATTAAAATTATTATATATTTTTTATTGCATATTTTAAATATATAAAAATTGATATATAATATATTGTAATTGGTTCAGTGTAGTGCACAAAAAAAAAGTGGTATATATTTGCTTTTCAAAATGACAAAAAGGTAGCATTTAATAATGATAGAAAAGTTAAAAAAATTCCAAAAAATGCCCCTGCAGTGCAAGCTGTCGCTAGCTCTTGCTCTGCTCCATAAGTACTCTACCCTCTCCCACTGCCCAATCGCCTCTCATCTCTGAATCTCTCTCTCCAACCTCTGAGAGTGTTGAGGGAAAGAAAAAGGAAGCAATGGCTATGACCAGCGTGCTCTGCATTGCCTTCATTATCTCTTTGACATGCATAGTTGAAGCTCGAATTCCAGGGGTTTACTCTGGCGGTGCCTGGGAAAGTGCTCACGCTACCTTCTACGGAGGATCCGATGCTTCCGGCACCATGGGTCTGTTACTCACCAACCCGCTTCTTTTCTCTTACATTTTAGCGCTTAATACTCACAATGTGGCTAAAGTAACCAACCACATTCCTTATACTATGTTTCAGGGGGAGCGTGTGGGTATGGGAATCTGTACAGCCAAGGGTACGGAGTTAACACTGCGGCATTGAGCACAGCGCTTTTCAACAATGGATTTAGCTGCGGTGCGTGTTTTGAGTTGAAGTGTGCAAACGACAAGCAGTGGTGTCACTCTGGAAGTCCTTCCATTTTCATTACTGCAACTAACTTTTGCCCTCCTAACTATGCTCTTCCAAACGACAATGGCGGTTGGTGTAACCCTCCTCGTCCTCACTTCGACCTAGCCATGCCCATGTTCCTTAAAATTGCCGAATATCGTGCCGGCATCGTCCCTGTTGCCTATCGCCGGTGGGTCAACCTTTCTTTCCATTTCCTACTTTTATTACTTTTGGGTTTAATAGTTAAATTTACTAGGCACGAAAATGTGTAAGGAAAAGAAAGAAAGGTACTAATTTGACCCTAACAATTCCCTAGGTGGTTCGTTTTCGTATGGTTTATTTGAGTCAAAGTGATGCTGATTTTGTTATGTAACATTTTGCTTTCTACATTATACGGCATGGGATGCGTTTGAATGAGAGGTGGAGGTGGGGTAGGGTTCTCTAAAACTCTATTTTGTCAGAAATTTGGGGTTTCTTTCCCCGAAATCCCTAATTATTTTAGGACCATCGTGTGACAGGACTTGTTGTTTTCATCGTTTCCCCATAATAGTGTTGTTGTGGTCCTTCTGGATTCATTTTTAACTTTAGTCACTTTATGTGGTATTATTGTTTTATTGTCTCGACTCTACTCAACCATGTTTTAGAGAAAAATATATATCTTAATTTAGAACTGAGAATTAAGTGTTTTTGTAAAGTATCTTCACTGTGTGAGTTAGATAGCTTACTTTAAGTAAAAGGTCAAAAATAGTGACGATGTGTGTTGATATTTACGCAGGGTGCCATGCAGAAAGCGAGGAGGATTAAGGTTCACAATCAACGGATTCCGTTACTTCAACCTGGTGCTGATTAGCAACGTGGCCGGTGCAGGGGATATCGTGCGCTCGTACGTGAAGGGCACTCGAACCGGGTGGATGCCGATGAGCCGGAACTGGGGTCAGAACTGGCAGTCAAACGCGGTTTTGGTGGGGCAAGCCCTGTCCTTCCGCGTCACGGGCAGTGACCGCCGCACTTCCACGTCTTGGAACATTGCTCCATCCAATTGGCAATTCGGTCAAACTTTCACCGGAAAGAATTTCCGAGTGTGAGACTCCTCCATCAATAATCATCATCACTCATGTCATCAACATCAATGACATGCTTATATATATAGATATATTTAATTTAAAAAATCTTTCTTTTCATTTAGATGGGTCGGTCATCTTGACATGGTGAAGATAGTGAGTGAGTGACAACTTTTTAATTGTGACTAGTGATTGGTTTTTTCTTTCTAATTGGTGAGTTTGATAATATGTAATGGGGGTGTGTGCGTGAGGTTATAATTTTAGTTTGTATGGTAGACCAAAGTTGTAACAGGAAGGGAGAAGGGAAAGGTTGAGCCTAATCCTAAAAGGATGAAAGTGTAGGGAACGCTGAAGTGGCTAAATCAAAATGGTAGCCCGCAGCTAAGTTGTATTTTTATTTTTATAGAACCATGGTGTTATATATATAATTTACAATTTCCTCTATCAATTTGGAAACGCTTTCTTCTTCACTTAAATGCCCGGGTTCATAAACTTGTACTAATGTTTAACATCATACAAAAAAACTTTACACAAACTAGCATTTGTCAAACGATAATTGACTAAGTTAACAATCACAACAACTTCTTGACGAATAATAAATGAAAGGTTTGAAGTGAAGCTGCTAGGCTTAAATTCAAGTGGTCACTTTATTTGACTAAAAGGGAAGCGGAGCAAATTGGCATTTATGATCTGAAAAAGGAAAGGCTTCTTAAAATGAAGATAAGTGGGAAAATTATAAGTTCGGGGTGAAGATAGTGGACATGAATTTCAATGAAAGAACGCATGTGCTCGTCTGCCCATTAGTAATGATAATGACCAGTGTTAGAATTTTGAGGCTGACAATTTCGTTTTAGCTTCTTTATTACTTACTTTTTTGCATTGTACTCATGAAGTATTCTTCTTCAGCGTCGCTTGCTCTATTTTTCACCATTATTCATATTATCTGATTTCACAAAATAAACAAGAACAAATAATACTATAATTAATTTGCAATCGTTCTTGCATTGGCTTCTCCTGAATGGAAAAATTGTTGGATTTCCTTCATCCAAAACCAAATAGATGCTGTGATCTCACGATTCCAATAAATACGTCACATCATAGCATTTGTGCTTAAAAAAAAGATGCACATGGGTGGGGTTGATTGTTAATGGTAGCCAACAGCCACGTACGTGAAGACGAAAGGAGTAAGTTGTGTTGCCCTACAACTGCTGCCATCAACCTCTTTACTTTGTTCAAAGGATATTGGATGCACCAAATTAACTTTGGATACCTACTTACCCTCTAAAAGGTAAAAACAAAGAAAGCAAGGCCTTGGATACCCATGGCTGGACTCCAAAGCTAGATTCAGTGCCACTGCATCAAATTCTTTCTCCTGGAAATGAGTCAGAAACAGAAAGGTTGTGTTTTTTTATAATACAGAAAGAAAAGCTTCAAATATTTATGATAAAACTAATTATATTACATATTTCATTCCCAATTTATATGTTTTGATTAATAGTTTTAAAACTTAATATGTTTTCATTTTAAGATTTTTTTAAACAATTATAAAAATATTTTTTTTTACTTCTATCATTTTATATAAATCTTTTAAAGCATAAAAAGAAAGTAATACTATTTTTATAATTTAAAAACAATATACAGATTGAATATTTAAAACAGTTTCATATTAAACGGGGCGTGTAATTGTCGTTATCATTATTTAACAGAAAAGCATGCCTAAGAAACAATTGGCATAGGCAAATTTAACGTAGGCCCTAGGATTTCCAACTGTGCCTTTATTGTTACACTCATAACTCATTACAATGGCTATCACCATCGCGCTGATGCAGTGTGTATTTCCATGCCTATACAAGACAATTTTTACGCGCTTCTATCTATTTCCTTTTATGGGAAAAAATTAGTTCCTTTTCATGTGTGTTTTGGTGGATTTGTTTTAAATTTCAGTAAGAATAAATTTAATTTTGTTTTAAATTTCAATTAAAATGATGTAATTTTTGTTTAAAATTTTATTTCTTGAAGTTTATAATAAAAATTTAATATATTTTTTTAATTCAACGTAGTTTATATTTTCTTCATGTCAACTCAAATCAATTTTAGTTAAAAGTAATCAAACCTTATTATTTAAAATCACTTTACAATAAAAAAAATGTAACTATATAAAATCATAACGTGTATCTAAACATGTGCTTCTAGTCTGATTTAATTACCAGTTATTGTTACCGAATTGGAGTTAGCACGTAAAAAAAGGTAATTAAATGTTTTGAAACTAAATTAAAAAAATAGTATAAAAACAAAATTTAAAACAAGTATTACCTATATAGAAAGTGTAAAAAATTGATTTAAATAATAACTTTAAGTATTATCGTGACACACATCCTTATAGTATTCACAGCCCAACACCAACCTTGGACGACCCATAAAGTGGATCTGAGCAACAATGTTTTCAGGTCTGTTTGGTGGCAGTTGGATTTGAATCCGTCATTGTAGATTATGAGAGGCTTGATTTTGGTGAAAACACAGCCCAACAGTTCAAATAAAATTGGACCCAAACAAGGAATGCGCTGCCCAAGCCCATACAGTGGTAAGAAAAATACATATAGATGAGAAACAAACATACACTTACTTATCTCTGGACTTTTCTTGTGTGGGCCTCCGGCCCTTTTTGTCTGTATGTCTCTCGACCAAAAATAATATCACAAACAGTGATAAACAGTGAAGAAGGGACTTTTCGAGTACAAGAAAATCTAAAGCAAAGAGGAGTATACCGAACAACAAAAATTATTGAAAACTAAGAATTTGTATTTATATAAATATGAAACATTTCAGATAACAAACACAATTTATATGAACGTAGAAATTTTATTTGAGAAAAAACACCAGACAGACACCTTGCTCCTTGCACGCGTAGTTATCACTATGTCATGTCTGAAGTGACATTAATAAGTAGAATTCATGTGGAAGCAGAAGTACACTTCAAGTTTAAGTTATGAACACATTATAATGGCGTCACTGGTGGTAATGACAAGGCATAGTTACGCTGTTGTTATTATTATTTGGTTTAAAATATGAGCTTGTTTCCACACATGAAGAAACGAAATTAAACGCTGAATTGAAAATTTAAGGAAAAATCATTACATATAGTTGTCCAAATAAATATAATAATAAATGAAGAGAATGTCTATAACTTAATGTCACGACTGATAAGGGCAACTTAGTTTCTTTTTTTTTAACTTCTTTGTGCCAATTGTGCTCAAATAAAAAAATTAATTCAGGAGAGAACACTTTTCGGACTTGTATCCCAAATGTAATTTCGCATGGCGGCTTATTGTGAATTGAATATTTTATTTTCTAAAAAAATTAGTCTCCCATTTTGACCACTCACTTAATTAAGTAATTTCAAAAGTCAATACATCTCTTCTATTTCTCTTTTATTGTGGCAAATAGGTGATTAAAAGTCTTGTTTTTATCACACGCTATTTTTAAAAGAATAATAAAAAATTATCATTAGTAAAAGTACTAAAATTACCATATTAAAGGGTTAAAAATAAAACAAGAGATGTTGAATGATATCCGTTTGATAAGACTTACTCTAAAATGGAACTGGGACTGCGTCAATAAGAGCAAATGTTTGCAGAATCACTTATTTAAGCTACGCCGTGGGCCCACGGCGGTGTCCGGTGATGATGCTATTTATTGGATTCAATCCCGCCGCTAGACGGTCACCCCCATCACCCTTGCCCATCAATAGCAGCCACCACAATCCTCACCAATACCAAGCACGACTAAATCTAAGTGGAAATTTTTAAGTTTTTTTAAAAAAAATTAAAGTGAATTTTTATATTATTTTTAATTAGAAATAGTATTAAAAATTGTGTTTAAATTTTATTTTTAACAAGTATCCTCTACCAATCTTTCTAAAATTGGAGTCATCATGTTCTAGAAAACATTCGGAAAAATAAATTAATTTCTGAAAAAGAGGAAATGATTGTATTTTTTTTATTGAGAAGAAAATAGTGAAATAAAAATTTATTGAATTTTTTTTATATTTTTAACATGATAATAAGTAGATATATAAATAAATAGATTGTATATATAATTTAAAAAATATTAAAATATGTCATTTTTTAGAAAATTATTGAAATATGAATTTGAAAATTGTCAATATCGATATTTAATTAAGTGTAGAGACTGAAAAAATATAAATTATAAAATATTAAAATCGTTAACTATAATTATTCAAAATAATATTAAAAAATTAAAAATTAAAACATCTCAAAGATAATTTTTTTAAAAATTAAAAAAAATTAAAAAAAGTATAAAAAAATTGCTAATTAGTCAAAATTTGTCACTAACAATTTTTGAGAATTTCTCATATTTTTTAATTTTTTAAAAAATTATATGTTAGTAATTTTACTTTTTTTTCATATAAAAAAAAGCCCAAATAAACTTAACATGTAAACAAAATTTTTCTTCATAGATTTTTTGAAGACTTCTTATGATCTTCTCTTTTTATTTCCAAATCGTACATTGAAAAATAACTGCATATAATTCGAACCGCAAAAATTAACACAAATTTATCATAATACTAATTATAAAATAGAAAAAATAACCAGGAATTGCTGTGGATCAGTTTACATTTTTTCATAATTACTTTTTACATTTTTTTTCTTTTTATGGATTTTTTTTAATCAAATAGAGCAGCGAAAGTCTACTATTTAATTTTACTTTTTTATTTTATAACTGAAATCTATGATAAATTTGTTTAGACTTATAATGTGCCTTTTTTGTATATTTTTTTATTGCGTTGTGTTTTTCTTTGCCTCTACATTGTGTCTAGTTATGTATAAGAATACAAAAAATAATCACATATAGACAAAAAGAAATGTTATATATAAACACTAAAATAAAAAGTATATAAAAATTGATCACCTATGAGAAGACTGTTAATCATATTAGACTTACTTCACTAGCCTTATAAAGTAAGATAATAAGAATGTCTTTTTTTTTTTTTCAATAACTTAAAATAAATAAATATTAAAATAACTAATATTTAGAATCTTAAAAGATAAATAGAGTATATTCGTAGTAGAATAACAGTACAGACTTTGATTCCTACTTAGTCCACAAGGAAACAGAGGAAAACAAACAATGATCATTTTCTTGCTTTTGTAGTTGTCAGTTCATTTTCTTTCGCTATCTACAAAGCCAATAGCCTCGCCTCCTCCACCTCCTACTTTATAAATAAATTATAAACCTAATCTAAATATATTGATTGCACTACCATTTAATTATATATTATTATATAATAAAAACATCATCTTTATATTTTATATTTTTCGTACACTTTTATTAATTAATAATATATAAAATTATAATAAACAACATGTTAAAATTAAACTAATTTATTCTTACCAATTACACACTGTATTCGTATAGTTTTTCA